GTTACCATAAATACTACTGAAAATTAAAAATAAGTGTTATTTACTTACTTACTTTTTGAGATAGGGTCTTGCCCATTTGCTCAGATTGGCCCCGAACTCCTGCCTCAGTTCTGTCCCATAACTGGAACTACAGGCACAGGCCACCATGCCCAGCTGATATAATTTTAAATTTATTACATAATATTTTGTTTTGATATAGTATGATCTAAACATTTCCTTCTTGGACATTAAGATAGCTTTCTCGGGACTGGGGCTGTAGCTCAGTGGTAGAGTGCTTGCCTGGCACGTGTGAGTCACTGGGTTCAATCCTCAGCACCACATAAAACCAACCAAACAAACAAATAAATAAAGAAAATGAAGGTATTGTGTCCATCTACAACTAAAAATTTTAGAAGGACAGATTGCTTTTACTTTTTTCACTGTTATTAAGAAGACTAAAGTGAACTGCTCTATGCATTTCTTATTTTTAGAACATTTATTTCTTCAGGATAAATTCTTAGAATAGAACTACTTTCTACTTGATGTAAACATTACACAGTGTATGCATGTATCAAAACATCACATAGTACCCCAGTACAACTATAATGTTTTTATGCATCGGTTTAAAAAGAAAGCCAAATAATTTTTTTTCTATTTCTTTGGGATGCTGTAATATAAGAAAAGGTAATTTTAGGTTCGTTCTTAACTTTTTAGAGAATTGCCTCTCTGTTATTCTGAATAGCAAAGCTGGTGGAAATTGATATTTACATTTAGAGTATTATAGTAGTTTATGCCCAAATCCTTAGTTTCTGACTTTCCTGGTAACAATTAGTCTAGTCACTATCTTTATATGTACATATAATATTCTCTACCATTGCAAAAGTCTGTCTGGGCTCACCCTCACTGCCATATTTACTTGAAATACATATTGGCACTTCACAGTTCACATCATACTCTTCTATATTTTCCCAGTTATAAAGTATAAATAAGTTATCTAAAATGTTTTGATTTTCTTTAACTGTTCTATGTCAACTATTGAAGTTTTGGTCAAAGCCAAATTTGGCCAGCAAAGACTATTTTGCCTACCTTATTATTAGACTTTCCAGAATGACTTTTTGTTGTTGTAGCATAAAAATACAAGTTATGTATCACCAAAAAAATTACATTAAGCTGCGAGTTACTTTGCAGTCACTCCCTAACTGGGATGATTTCAGCATTTATCACAAAAATACAATTAATGGCCCTTCTCATTAAGGATGACAGAGATCTTCTCTTTCTTTGAATAGCTCCCCCCCCCTTTTTTAGTTGTTGATAGACCTTCATTTTATTTATTTATATGTGGTGCTGAGAATCCAACCCAGTGCTTCACACATGCCAGGCAAGTACATTACCCCTGAGCCCCAGCCCCAGTTTTCCCCCTTTTTAAAGAGAAAAATATTAATTTTCTAGTGACATTTTGGTCCGGAGCAGTTTCTGAGAGCAGTGGTTTTACATAAGGTCTGAGACAAGTCATTCAATATTCATAAGTACCAGAATAGATCCCCATAGCTAACTTACTAAAAGCCAAGGTATGATGTCTTTATAAAATGATTTAGACTGTGACCTTCAAACTTCAGAATTCTGAAACTCAGCAGCAGCACAGCCTGTAGCCATGAGTTTTTTTGTAAGGGCTCTGGAATGGGTGTTGCTGAGTAGTCCCCAGCCCTGTTTTATGTTTTATTTAGAGACACTTCTCACTGAGTTGCTTAGGACATCACCGTTGCTGAGGCTGACTTTGAACTTGAGATCCTTCTTTCTCAGCCTCCGAAGCTGCTAGGATCATAGGCTTGTGCTGTCACACCCAGCTCAAAGGGTTTTATTGGGTAAAGAAATCACAAAATTAGGATTGGAAAAATTTTTAAAAAACGTAAATTTTCTTATTTGTTTAGACATTCATATCTGTGAAGATCAGAGTTTATATTTTTTTGATTTTTAAATATCATTAAAAATATCTCAATAATCTTGGTTTATTGAGTATCGTGTTGGAAGCTGGTTACTGATTTTTGCTTGGGAAGAGGCACTAAAAAACAAAGTCTATGTGTCTGTGTCTGTCTGTCTGTCTGTCTGTCTCTCTCCCCTCCCCCCCTCTCCCCCCCACACTCAGAATTGAACCTAGGGGTATTCTAGTATTGAGCTAGACCCCCAGCCCTTTTTATTTTTTATTTTTTTAAAGGTTACTGATGATCTTTTAAAAATCTACTCATTTATTCATTTTTATGTGGTGCAAAGGATTGAACCCAGTGCATCACACATGCTAGGCAAACCCCCTACCCCTGAGCTACAGCCCCAGTCTCCCTTTTTATGTTTTATTTGGAGGCAGGGTCTTGCTAAGTTGCTAAGAACTGGACTTGAACTTAGAATTTCCAGTGTCACTGGGTTTACAAGCCTGCACCCATGGGCCCTTTGTCTCTCATCTTGAAATAGCTCATATTCTCTCCTGAATACGTATCTGTTTTCCCGTATAAATCTGTATCTGAAAAAAAAAAAAAAAAAAAACTGGGCTGGGGATGTGGCTCAAGTGGTAGCGTGCTTGCCCAGCGTGCGTGAGGCACTGGGTTCGATTCTCGGCACCACATAAAAATAAAATAAAGATATTGAAAAAAAAAAGTTAAAAAAAAAACAACCAACCAACCAAACAAACAAAAAAACCCCCCAAAACAAAAAGAACATTCTCTCTTAATGGGTTGTGACTATCCAAAGTACAAATGTCCTTAGTTCTTATTTTAATAATCTGATTTTTAATATAGCCTTACCCAGTAATACCTAGCTATATACAACTAACTGTACCTTAGTTCACATTTTTCCTTTTTTAATTTTAAAAATTCTCCTATAGTAAAACTGACCTTTTGAAAGGCATGTACAATTTTACAAATTTTGCTACATTTATATTTAACTATTACCACCACTGGAATTAAGAAGAGTTTCTTCACTCCTGCAAAACTCTCATATTATTCTTTTATAGTCATACCCTGCCCACCCTGACAAACATTGATGTGTTTCCCATCATTAGTTTTATTTTTTTCCATAATATCATATAAATGAAATCATACAGTGTTTATCAGTAATCTGGTCTTTTGCTAAATTGTTGGTTAAAAATGTTATGATATTTGGATATTTTTTCTGATCTGATAGATAAATTGGCACTGAATTTGGTTATCTTTTTTTTTCTCTACATCATGATCAGAAAAGTGATTTCAGGGTTTGCATAAGATTTAAAGTTTTGGATTTTTAAATATTGGTCCCAAACTCTTTTTCTTTTTTCTTGTAGAGGACATAATACCTCTATTTATGTATTTATCTAGGGTTTTTTCCCCCCCTAATGTGGTACTGGGGATTGAACCCAGTGCCTCATGTGCACTAAGCAAGTGTGCCACCACTGAACTACAACCCTAGCCCTCTTTTTTTTTTTTAATAGTTCCCCCTCCTCCCATCTTTTCCCTTGTTTGCCAAATAGTACTTGTTGTCTTAACTTCCTCTTCTACTTTCTCTCCTGCTAACCTGAGCAACAACTTCTTCTTCTTTTTTAAAAAAAGATGTTGATGGATCTTTATTTTACTCATTTTTTAAAAATTTACATGTGATGTTGAGAATCAAACCCAGGGCCTCACACATGCTAGGCAAGTGCTCTACCACCGAGCCACAACCCCAGCCCTTGAGCAACTTCTAATTTAGCTTTTCTTTTCTTTTTTTTTTTCTTTCTTTTTTTTTTTTTTTTTTTTTTTTTTTTTTTTTTTTTTTTTTTTTTTGTGATGCTGGGGATTGAACCCAGGGCCTTGTGCATGCAAGGCAAGCACTTTGCCAACTGAGCTATATTCCCAGCCTTTCTGTGTTTTTCTTTACTTTTTGTTCCATTCTTTTTGCTTTGTGGTTGTTGTTAAGCTGTAAACAGTTTTTTTTTGTTTATTTGTTTGTTTAGTTTTGTTTTTAATTCAGTTACTTTTTTTTAAATTCAGTTACTTTTATAGCTAAGTAAGTCAGTTACAGTATTTGCATCGCTCTGGAAGTTTTTATTATTTTATTGGGCTAGCAGTTTATAAAGGCAAAACTTGAGACAGAAGAAAGTGTTTTTCATGTTTGAGAGACAAAAAGTGAATTCTGACCTTTCTTAATGTCAGTGCCAATGATGTGACAGACCTTTCTTTGCTTTTATTTCAAGCCTCTTCCACTCCTTATCTCCCTGAGAACCAGACCCCCCTAGTGCCTGATAATCTGTTTCTGTGTGCCTGCCCTAGAGTGTCCTCTTTTATTCCTTGGCAACAATGGTCTGTTTATTCTAACTTACTCAAGTTTATTTATATAAACTCTTTGCATCATAAATTTAGTTGGATTCTCTATCTTGAGAGCTGATTCCTTTCTTAATTGATAGAGGATTTAATTATTATCTCCCAGCTGCTGAAAATCTAGAGGAAACTTGAAAATTGTATGTTTGGGCAAGAAAATAATGGTGATTCCTTAATGTATGAGAACCGGATAAATCTATGCTGTGTCACAAATTGAAATAAAGGATTAATAATAGTTAGAATGGAGAGTGCTTCAGAATCAAAGAACATCAGACAATCCACTATTTATTATTGGATGTATTAGATTTTAAAGAATAAAGATAAAACAGTTTTGTTCTCACAATCTACTTGGTAGAGGAGTTAGAGACTTAATATTTTTAACTCGAGCTGGTTTTACATGTGTTTTCTATATGGTCGCAATTAAAATACTTTTAATGCAGGCAATTTTTAAAAAATATATTGTTAGTTGTAGATAGACACTATACCTTTATTTTATTTATGTTTTATGTGGTGCTGAGGATCAAACCCAGTGCCCCATACATGTTAGGCAAGCACTCTACTGCTGAGCCACAACCCCAGCCCTAATGCAGGCAATTTTTAGATACCATTAGACATTTTTGCTTCCATAGATGACTTTGGTGAAAGCAATACATACCCACTTCTCTACTGTTTTTTTTTTTTTTTTTTTTTTTTTTTTTTTAGATTTTAACATTTGAGACCAAGAACCCCACAGAATTAGCAGAACGTTTGCGCTCTGTTTGTGGGAATCAGAGCAATGCCTATGCCCGCCTGCTGGAATACCGCCTGAATGCCTTGCGAGGACTGTGGAATGCCCAGCGCCAGCTGGCCTTGGAAGAGCAGCATGAAAGGGAAAGTTCAGGTGACGAAGAAACTTTGGCCCTGCTCAAGCGCCAGGGCTTGTTGCAGCAACCTGAGCAAGCGCCTTTCACATCTCGGATGGGGCTCCTGCTGGTCTTCCCCCTTATTCAGTCCCAGAGTAGAACAGATCCTTCTCTCTGTAACATAACTGCTGAGGTGCTATTGAACTGCCTTCGTGACTGCCAGCCTTTGAGCCTGACCAAGGAGCCCGCTGACTGTCTCAATGGAATTGAAACTTTGCTGTGCTCTTGGCTGGAGGAGACTTCTGACACAGGCCGCCACATTCCACAGAAGCAAAAAGAAAATGCTGCTGCTGCCCTGGTGGCTTTGGCATGTGCCAGGTAAGGAGAACTGAACGTACTTGGTAACCTTGTGACTGCTCCATCTGGGTTGGGTGAGTWATAAGAGGCCAGTATATTTGATGGAAGTCTTAATGTTTAAAAGTTCCTGGGCTGGGGTTGTGGCTCAGTGGTAGAGCGATTGCCTTGCACATGCGAGACCTGGGTTCGATCCTCAGCACCACATAAAAATAAATAAGTGAAATAAAGGTATTATGTCCAACTACAACTAAAAAATAAATACAAAAAAAAAAGTTCCTCTTTGATTTCAGTATTGAATTTTACATCCTTGACAGTGCATATGATGCTTTCACCAAAACTTGGTACCAGGGGCCTGAGTTGGAACCCAAGTTTTCTCTTCTATGCCATGATAACAGCTTAAATAGCTGAACAACTTAGATTCTGAGAATCAATCCTTCCATATTTATTCATCCTTAAGTTGTTAATGTTCTCTATCACATAGCCACAATGTGATGGGAGGATGGTCACATATTTTGTAGAGCTTTTAATTATTTCATATCTATCTATAAGGAGTACATCAGTGAGTTAGAGGGTTATTTCTCACTGGAATTGCATCATAAGTGTGAACCCAGTACTTGCTTTTATCAATTTAGTTGAAAGATCTCTTAGTATATTATCAAGATTTAAAATGAGCATAGTGCCACAGGGAATCCTTTGGGAGGCTGAGGCAGGAGGATCACACCAATTTAGAGCACCTGACCAACTCAGGCCCAGATTACATAGGGCCTGATGAGCCATGAAAGGAATTTGAGCTTTGCTCTTACAATCTGACTGAAGCTAGCAGGTGTTAATTTTTAGTTAGTAATGGTTCTAAATGTTGATGCTGTTGCCCCTTTATTTGAAACTCACTGTTCCCCAGGGAGGTATCCCTGTTGGTCAGATAAAGAAGCAAAAATTCAGAGGAGTTAGGTGGTAAGACAGACTGTACAGTGCCAGGTTTCAGAGCCCCTGTAACCTGGCTTCCAACTGGTGCTTTTATACTGTGCTGCCTTCCTGCTTTATACTTTGGTTTTTTGTTCTTTGAACACTAGAGATAGTGAAAGGAACAATTAACAGGAGGCCTCTAGGTCTACTTGCTCCAGTGTTGAGTATCCATTTCTGTTGGGGGGTAGGCATATGATACTTAGCTATCAAAGCCTGGCTAAGAGAAGGAAGGAGGCAAGCAAGCTGAAGACTTCCCATCTGATATGGGCAGTCATTTAGTTTGGGAAGTATTCTTGTGGTGATTTATACTCGAGACATGACAGTTAAGTCTCATGCATCTTAAAAGCACCTTTTTTTATATCCTGCTAATGGTGTTAGACTTCCCAAAGCTTAAAGCCTTGGAAACCAAAAGGAAATTGTCCCATAGTGTGTCCTGCAAGGAAAATCGTGATATGCTTAATAGCAGGGGGATGCAGAAGACATACCTCTCAGCACTAAGTATTAATTATTTGAATGTATTTTAGTCATATTAAATGTGATGAAGTTTAGTGCAAAATGGATGAACTTAACAAAGATATTGAAAAATCAAGCCTGGAAATACTGTTGGACTTTAAATATAACCTCATCGGAGAAATCTCTCCTAGACTGTAGAAAGAGGTATGGTGACTAAAGCAGTATCCAAGCACAATACCATCAAGTTCTTTGCACTTGGGCCTTGTTTTTTGAATGTGTTAGAGGAATATTGTTTACCTTTCCAAATGCATGGAGAACATCTTCCTAACTGGCCTGATGCCACTCCCACAGTCAGGTTTTGTATGAGCCAACAGTGATCAGTGAGAGTCCAGTGTATTTTGTATAATATATCTTCTGGTTGGCAGGAGCAGATAAACACTTTATGGAATTAACCATGGGGTTAATGAAACTAATACTCCCTAAATTATCTGGCTTTCAATTTTGATGATTTTTTTCTTCCTTCCTTTTGTTTTTAGGGGATCATTGAAAACTTTTGTCCACACAGTCCACCTGTTGCAGAAACAGACTGATCTTGGGTCCCTGCCTGTTGCTGATGTACTGTATAGGTAAGTTCTCACATAGGATCCTTATACTCCTTCCAAACAATGCATATTTGTGCATAAAGGCTCGTATGATAAGTATATTGCTAAACTCTTACCAATTAATGATTTATATTTCTGAATAAATATAGAATCCAATTAACTTCTTAAGAATTTTGTTTTCTTCCATTCTTTGAAAGTATTCTTAAGTACATTATTTTCATTCTTTTTAAATTTTATGTCTTCATAAAAATGCAGTAGCTTTTAATAAATTCTTTATAAATTTGAGATGATAATGTACTAAAGCATGAAGAAGAAAGTAAAAATCATTCGTAATCTCATCGCCCAAAGATGACTCACTGCTCCTAAAGTTTCAGTATGTGTGCTTCCTGGCTTGTGCCCTCCATTTCTCTCTGTGCCCTCTATTAGTGTCTCTTTTTTTCTCACACAAGAATATGTTTAAAATACATATATTTTACACACAGAGGTAATTTTGTTATAACATTTCCATAAGCATTGCTTTGTATTTTTTCATTTAAAAATATATTAGAATGTCTTTTTAGATGTGTATTTATGTAAAACTGTTTTAGTTTCTGCCTTTGGAGGGTGTAGATAGACTGTTATTTTCTTGCTGAAATGGATGGTCTCAGTTTCTTTGCGATTCTCCTTCTCCTCTTATAGACTGTTGCTTTTGGAAGGGGGGCCTGGATCCCCCTCCTGTTTACTTGGGGGCAAACACATAGTCTCATGGGGGTATGAAGACATGCTGCCTGCTCCCGATAGCAACACTGGCTCCAGTTCTGAGAATAAAGGTAATGCAAGATTTTTTTGATCCTGTGATTAATATTAAGATGTAAGAAGAATGGTTTTGGATTATTGTTGCAAGTACTTTAGATACAGTTCTGTGTGTTCCTTTATGTTCCTTATAATTAAGAGTTGAAGATTCTTGTACAGTGTGTTGTTTGCTTTATCAGTAAAAGTATAAAAACTGATACTCAATGAGGTAAGAAAGTGGGTAGGTTTTACCACAGCAAGGAAGAGGGATCCTCCAAACACTCCTGCCAAGGCAGCATGAATTACTTAAATTGGTCTCAGGATATTTGACTTTGGACATGGAAGCCTTAAGTTGAAATTTTTGGTCTTGTTGCATGATATGTATTTCTTTTATTAACTTATTGTGTCTTCAAGAACCCTCCTGTCCTAAAAGCAAAATGAGAAGGTTCATGGGTGTGTGAATTGTTAAGTAACCCCTTTAAATGAAGTAGGCTGCTTTAAACTGTTTTTATACGGTTCCACAGGATTACATTATCTCAGCAAAAATGGCAGAAGCTCTCTTAAGTGACCTCCACTTGACTAATGTGCCAGATGAATTAGGCCTCTCTTGTCACTTTATATGGAATTTTAAAAAAAAATGATTACCCACTTTAACTGGTTTTTTATTGTTGAGGAACTAGTAGGTACAGGTCCCAGTTGTCCAGAATTGTCCAGACCTGAGCCATGGTCCTCCATACCCAAGTCCATGGGCCCCTGTGTGCACTGCTACTCCCACTGGTAGAACTGCCTGCTTGCCAACAGTCAGCCTTGCTCCCAAACTGGTTTGTTGTTGTAATTGGTACTTGTTATTGTATCATTAATTATTATAATGATATTATTAGTATTATATTATTATTAAATATTATGTATCTGATAAAATAGGAATTAAAAACAAAAAAACCCTTCCATTTAAAAGGTGACTATTTAGAAAGACTAGACCAAATGAGCCTTGAAACAATTGATGCCATTAGCTGTAAAGTTGAGAGCCCCTTCTGTCCCCCCAAGTCCCCTTTGTTTCCAACACTCCATGGGGCAGCCTACCTGGGCAGCCCTGAGAGCATGGAGCCCCATCTAACCACACCCACAGACAACCTTTCAGATCTCAGCCCAGTGCCCTGTGCCTTTTCACAGTCCACTGTGTCTTCTAGAGAGTGCTGAGAGGAAAAGGTAAAGCTTCTGAATGATTAATGACCTTCCCAGAGTTAGTGAGACAAGCAAAAATCCTACAGCACCTCTGCAGTTCTCGGACAGTATGGGTGCTGGCTTCCATCTTTATTCGGAATGGAAGCCCTGTCTTTATTCTCTCCCTTTACTGGCATCTCCCTAGAAGTAGTTTCTCACCAACGATGATGGAGTAAGCTTATCTGTTTGCTTTTTACTTCTATGTACCTTTGGTTTTGGTAAGAATTGTTTTTCTTAAAATAATTTTTAGAATAATGTTTTTTTTTTCCTCATTGTGTTACTATGTTATGGCCTTAAATTCCTGAGCTCAAGTGATCTTCTTGCCTCATCTTCTCAAATTAGAATAAGTCTATTTAACCTTTAATATAAAAAAATTCAATATTGACAGAAGTTGAAAGGAAGCTGTAATAACCCTGTATACAATCTCAAAAAGTGTCAGTTCCCAGACAGTCTCATTCAGTCTGTCTCCTTCAGTTCTACCCCTCATCAGACCTGCACTCAAAAGGGGCTGGGCTCTAATCTAATGATGCCTGAATAAATGAAATTTATTAATGTTAGGTTAAAAAGTTTAAGGTATGGAATTTAAAAAAAAAAATGATTACCCACTTTAACTGGTTTGTTATTGTTGAGGAACTAGTAGGTACAGGTCCCAGAGTAGTAGACTGGAATTTTAAGATAATAGCAGATTCAATACTGATTTGAATGGTGTGACATTGAATTTCTTCTAGCTAATACGACCTGTTTCAGGAAGACAAACTCCCCTGAAACATAGTGAATGGAATGATTATGAACATAAACACGGAAATCTTTATCTATAAGCCCAATTTTAAGGCAAATTCTTGGGAATATAATTTAGGAAACCATTTACTGTTACGTAGAGAAACTATTTTAGTTGGGGAAGATAAGCTAAGAGAAAACATAATTACCATTTTTAAAAGGAGAGAGATTATTGGGCTGGGGTTGTGACTCTCTAGTAGAATATTTGCTTAGCACATGTGAGACATTGGGTTCAATCCTCAGCACCACAAAAAAATAAAAGTAAAGGTACTGTGTCCATCTACAAGTTAAAAAAAATAGAGATTTTATATATATGTATGATATATACATACATATAAATGCAGGTAACTTTTTTTATTTTTATAGTTGCTTGCTGACAGCATACATTTATTATATTTGTTCATTTTTATGTAGTGCTGAGGATCGAACCCAGTGCCTCACACATGCTAGGCAACCGCTCTGCCACTGATCTATATCCCTAGCCCCCAGAGATTATATTTTTATGCTGTTATTTGTCTCCACAACTAAAATTAGTTGCTGAGACTGGCCTTGAACTTGTAATCCTCTTGCCTCAACCTCCTGAGTTGCTAGGATTACAGGCATGTACCACCCAGAAATGAAATTAGGGTATCTGAGTAGAAAATCCACAGAAGCAGATTTTAGTTCTGCTTACACCATTAGTAAATCAACATAATTTAATATGTCATTTATGGAACCCTGGCTTGGTAGCAGTGAGCAATGTAGGTGTGTTTTCTGATTTAACTATCGCAGTAACCCTGGAAGTACATATTATTATCCTTATCTAAAAGAAGAAGAAAACGAAGTTCAAAGACATCCAAGATCATTTAATGAATGGTCAAGGCTCTTAAGAGTTCATGCCTTTCTTATTATGAATTAATTTGTAAAATTATATTCTTAGTCATTTCAGATTAGAATTAGGAATGTTTAAGCTTGGCTCAGTACTTTTGTTTTTCAAAAGAAAAAACATCTGGCAGGCTGAACCAGGTCCCTCTACTAATAACTATGAGCCCTCTTTCCTGATGTCTTTCCCTTATCTTCCTTGTTCCCACATGTTTTTAGATATTTGATTTTAGGGGTTCAAGCCATCTACAGGGTAGCACTTTTTTTGTTTTCTCCTTAAGCAGGAGATTATCTTTCACTCAACTTCCTAATGACTTTTTCATTAGAAAAAGTATGTTTATAATTTCATTAGAAAAAACATCTAATTGTTAAAAAAAAAAAACGATTTCAGGGGCTGGGGATGTGGCTCAAGCGGTAGCGCGCCCGTCTGGCATGCGTGTGGCCCGGGTTCGATCCTCAGCACCACATACAAACAAAGATGTTGTGTCTGCCGAAAACTAAGAAATAAAATATTAAAGTTCTCTCTCTCTCTCTCTCTCTCTCCCTCTCTCTCTCTCCCCCCCCCCCCCCCCCCCCCCCCCCTCTCCCCCCTTACTCTCTCTTTAAAAAAAAAAACAAAAAACGATTTCAGATGCTGATTTGGGACGCTGTCTCACTGCAGACGGTCTTTACCTGTACACTACTAACTCAGTTGGAAGAGGAGTAAGCAAATTGGGGTCTGGATTACATGGTACTCTAAGGTCAGTTGCATGGAACTTGCTCAGTGATTTGGCTGGAACATTTTCCTCTTTTATAAATCTCTGAAGAAGGGCAGGGGGTGTGTCCTGTTTACCCATACACTACTACTAAGTAACAAGTAGAACTAATTCAAATGGTCCTATCTTATTGCCACCTCCCAGTATGTTGTTCTAAAATGCAGTGTACTGTTGACTCTGTAGAGTTTGGTACCCCTAAGGTCGGTGTTTCCAGCCAGAAATTCTTCTGTGATCAGGATTTCTACATGTTGATAAGTGACATTTTTCTAGTTAAGTTTTTTTGTACTTGAATTTAACATTAGATTAGCAGTGATTTTTCAGTTGGGATATAAGATCTATGAATTCCTGTCAAAAGAAATTGCAGTTTGAAAACCCTAAGTATATTCAGTGAAGCCTTTTCCCCAACTTTCTCTCCTCTCTATCTCATTGTGGAAAGTTGATATTTGCCATAGTTTGTCAGTTCCAGAGTTAATGTAACATTTACTCTTTGGCTCCCTTACCTAGTCATTTTTAAAAATTAGGTCAAAAAATGTTCTATGTGCCTAGTGTATTTCCTTGTAAGGCTCTAGGCACAGCTCGATGGTCCACCATGTCTCTTTCTCTTCCACAGAGGGTTTGTGTACTGCCGGAATGAGGAGCTGGAGCCAGGGTGGGTGGCTTTTGGCAGTRGCAGTCTTCTCCACCGGCCTGTGTCTTTCGATAATAAACCTCACTCCCTGTTCCAGGTCATTGATCAGAATACCCTTCAGGTAAACAGAAAACCATGGCTCTTGGCTTTTGTATTTTGGAGACAGTAAGAGAAGTTCCTGATGTCATTAGAAGTAGCCTCTTTTTAATTGTTATAGTTTGGGCATTTTTGTTTTTTCTTTAATGTCTTTGAACTTTCCCACATGATCTGAATGAATGTGCTCTTTATCTTTCAAAGTCCAACAATAAACTTTTCTTTTTATGTGTGTGTGCTGAGGATCAAACTCAGGACCTTGCTTATACTAAGCACTTGTGCTACCACTGAGCTATGCCCCTTGCCTCAAATATTAAACTTTTTTTKTGTGTGTGTGTGGTGCTTGGGATTGAACCCAGGTCCTTGTGCATGTGAGGCAAGTACTCTACCAACTGAGCTATATTCCCAGCCCTCAAACAATAAACTTTTTTACTGTATTTCTTTTCAGTACTGGGGATTAAACCCAGAGTCAGTCTATCACTGAGCCACACCTCCAACCCTTTCTGTTATGTTTTCTTTCTTTATCTTTTTGGTACTGGGGATCTAACCCTGAGGTGCTTTTCCGATGCTTACATCCCCAGCCATTTTTATCTTTTATTTTGAGACAGGATCTTGATAAGTTGCTGAGGCTGGCCTTGAACTTGAGTTGCTGGGATTATAGGCGTGCATCACAATGCCCAGCTCACATCACTTTTAGTTTGTCACTCAAGTATGTCTTTCCTAGAGAACAGGGATTGAATCTTGTTCACCATTACCATCTCCAGAGCATAGTAGGTGCTCAATAATTATTGGATAAATAAAATGAACTAATGAATAAATGGATGTCCAGTTGACGTTATTGTTTGTCACTAATGCAAACATATAAGAACATCTCATGTTTATTTGAAATGGAAATGATAAGCCCAGGAGTTAAGCAGATGTTAAATCTCAGAACATATTTTACATTTGAAGCAATGCCAGTTTTCCCTGTGTTTTTGCAAAAACTTTTTGACACTGTCCAAGAAAGCAATACTGTTGTCATGAACTAGATATGTGTACTGGGAGTAATCTGGGAGCACCATAGGCCACTTAGTAGCTGTCAACTTTCTAGACTTCCTGGCACTATAAGTTCAAAGTGTAGTTACAGCAACTAAGTGAGTTTTTGTGCTTCAGGTAGAAAGAACAAATTTGGATAAAAGTTCATGGATTGAGGAGTCCGAATTGCCTGGGGAAAACTAGTGACCCTCCCAAAGCAATGGAATAACTAAAAATTGTTCTTACTTTCTTATGAAGGCATTAACTTTCTCTAATGAGTTTTATTTTGACGTTTTCAGCTCTTCTATTCCTGAATTTAAAAAAAAAAAAAGGTCTAGTCAGCAATTTTCTTGGTTTTCATGTGCCCTCATTTTAAGTGCTAATCTCTGGCATCAAAATAGTGTGTTTAATGTAGAATGATGCTGAAACTGAAGAAAGCTTTATATTGGAAACACTTGTTTTCACAGTACACAGGGATGGACATGGTCAATTTCTTTGAGGCTCTATGTGCTAAGTTAGGCTCCATCATGGGCTGTCTTTTTTTTTTTTTTCTCCATATTGGGAATTGAACTCAGGGGCACTTAACTATTGAGCCACATCCCCAGCCCTATTTTGTATTTTATTTATTTAGAGACAGGGTCTCATTGAGTTGCTTAGTGCCTTGCTTTTGCTGAGGCTTTTGCTGAGACTGGCTTTGAACTCAAGATCTCCTTCCTCAGCCTCCCTAATTGCTAGGATTATAGGCATGCACCACCGTGCCTGGCATGGACTGTCATTTTTATTTTTAAACTTCATTTCTCCTTTTCCCTTCTCCCTCTTCTGTTTTCCTTTTGACTTCCTCCTGCTGTCTCTTTTTTCCTTTCTCCCAAATTTACTAATTCACTTTAATTAGGCTCTGAATTAGGTGCTTGGGATATAAGATGAACAAGACATTATTCCCAGAAGATGACCAACATTAAACAAGGATGAGAGGTGGGAGGGAAAGGGAGAGAGAAGGGAAATTGCATGGAAATGGAAGGAGACCCTCAGGGTTATACAAAATTACATACAAGAGGAAGTGAGGGGAAAGGGAAAAACAATACAAGGGGGAGGAATGAATTACAGTAGAGGGGGTAGAGAGAGAAGAGGGGAGGGGAGGGGAGGGGAGGGGGGATAGTAGAGGATAGGAAAGGCAGCAGAATACAACAGACATGAGTATATCAATATGTAAAGCAATGAAGTGTAACTGATGTGATTCTGCAAGCTGTATACGGGGTAAAATGGGAGTTCATAACCCGCTTGAATCAAAATGTGAAATATGATATATCAAGAACTATGTAATGTTTTGAACAACCAACAATAAAAAAAAAGAAAAGAAAGGAGATAATTTACATGAAGTGCTTAAAACAATATCTGATATCTAATACTTTGACCTGAGCGTTTAGTCACCTTTCTGCTGCAATTATTTTGATTATTGCCTTTGCTATATTACAATCCTGTGAGAATGTTTTAACTATCCCCTACTAAATCAGGAATTGGCAAACTATGGCCCAAGGGCAAATGTGAAGTACTGACCAATTTTGCATGGCCCACAAGCTAAGAATGGTTTTTACATTTTTAAATGGTTGAAAAAAACAAAAGAATTACATTTTGTGACACATGGAAATAATAACAAACTCATATTCCAATATTAATAATAAAGTTTTATTAGAACACACACACAAAAAAGACATTATTCCTATCTTTTAAATACAATTATGGTCTTAAATTTCTTTACTAAGAAATTTCAGAAAGTATTATTTGTCTAAAATTTATTTTTTAGTAAGTTAGATAAAACATATGCATAGCAGATTCAGTGTTTTTTAAAAATGTTTTAGTTGCAGACAGACACCATACCTATTTTTTATTTATTTATTTTTATATGGTGCTGAGGATCAAACCCAGTGCCTCACATATGTTAGGCACTCTACCACTGATCATATTCCAGCCTGTAAGTAATTATTTTTCCTATTAAAAAGTAATTTGAATTAGTATCAATAATCTATCTTTTCATCTGTTACATGGTTGTTCATGTTTATTTTATTGCTCATTTTATGAACTTTTTTATTTTTGCCATGTATTTTTCATACATTATTTTATTTTGCCCAGGAAGTCTATTGAATTATCATTTGTGACTTAGTAAGTAGCATTAACAATGGACTGAATTTCTTCCCTTTGGTGTCCAGGTGTGCCAGACAGTGGCCATGCCAGCCAATCACCTCCCTGTTGGCAGTACTATGAGCACCGTGCACCTCTCTTCAGATGGTACCTACTTCTATTGGATCTGGTCTCCTGCCAGTTTGAATGAAAAAACACCAAAGGGACATTCTGTCTTCATGGACATTTTTGAACTTGTGGTAAGTTTAGCTTTCTTATTTTGTGTTTTTACAGAAACCCCCTTCTATTTTCTTTTTATATTAATGTACAGACGGCCTGGGATCCTAKCATATGTACAGTATGTTCAATGTTTCCTTAAAATTAATTTTCCTTTCATGTGTCTTTGAAGGTGTTTTATGTTTGAGGTTAGATGCATAAAAGGCCAAGCTTTCTAAAAGTTTAATCTGGCAGTGACATTCCTGGATGTGCTGACAGTGGGGTGTTTATGGAGAAACCCCATGGGTGGTTGAGTATGGGACTAAACTCAGTAGCAAGCCTGGTTCTGTAGAGAGGAACTGGGAGTGTTCAAGAGTAGAGACAATTGTGAGAAGGTGATTCAAGCAGTGTTGTACTCAGGTGATGGGAAGACAGTAGTGGGCAAGATAGGCAGACTATCTTACTCAAATTAACTGAATTCTGTCTCTGGAATTGGGTGGTTTGGGTGATGGTGGTGGAGAAATTTAAAAATTAACGATAAACAGTAAGCAAATAAGTGAACAAAATAATTTTAGTCAGTGAAAAAAAAGTAGTAGTTAACCTGATAAAGAATGGGGGTTGGGGGTGGGGTGGCAAATGAAGAACATCAAGGAAGACAGGAACATAAGTACAAAGTTCCTGTGGCAGGAGCAAGCATGTTTTCGGAAATCAAGGCAGGCCAGGGTAGCTGGAATACAGAGAAGCTTGAATGAGAAGAACTCGGTCACCCAGGGTCTGGATCTGCACTGTTCAATGCAGAAGCCACCAGCTGTACATGACTTTCTAAATTTCAATTAATCAAAATTAAGTAGAATGAAAATTTAGCTTGCTCAGTTACATTAGCTACATTTCAAGCTCTCACTGTGGCTAGTGGCTGCTGTGTTGAACAGGAAAGACAGAGAACATTCCCATCATTGAAGAAAGTTTTCTTGTATGAGCTTGTGTAGATAGTATTTGTAGGCATTTACCAAAGAGAAAATTACCCTAAACTCTGTCTGTAATAAAACTTATTTCATTATGTGATTTAGAACCCCCTTCTGGAAAGAGATTAGTATTTCTGAAGGGGAGAGAATGTGATAGCAATTGTCTAGTAAACCTTGAAGGTTCCAAGCCTGTTCTGTTCCCACCAGTTGACCATCAGTCAGGAGTCCAGTAGCCCTGAACAATACATTCTCTTTCTTTGTTTTCTAGTCTCACAGTTTTCTTTCTCCCTCTCCCTGTCTCTCTGCCTCCCTCCCCACCTCCCTCTTCCTCCCCTCTCCTCCTCCCAAGCATATTATAAACTGATATCCTAAGGAAGCCATAACCCACAGTGTTCTCTGAAATAGCCCCATCAGAGTGTTCTCTGAGTAGGTCTGTTAGCGATTGTACTGTTTCTTACACTTACCTTTAAAAGTGTAAGAAAACTTTTCCTTGTTTATTTCTTCCTAAACAGGCTCATCAGCTGTTTCAAGAGTTTAGATCTTTATTTGAGGAATAATGGGAACATTGAAACCCCTTCCTCCCTGATATGCTTTTGTCAAATTAAAAGAAGAAATTGTATCAGAGAAACCCAAGTGCAAGGTTTCAAACATCAGCCTCTCACATACTGAAAGGAGCTTCCTTTGCTCCACCTCCCCCAATCCCCAGCAGGTGTCACAGTTGTCACTTTCATGGGTTTTTAATTCTTCTCCTGGTTACCTTCATGTCTCTAAGTGAAATGCTTGTGTTGCTGTTTCTTTATTTATGAATTCCAGATTTTGTCGATTTTTTTTTCCTGTGATGATGATTTGGCTAAATTTCCCCTTTCTTTTATTATTCCCAATGTGCTTATTTCATGCATTTTAGTTCTTCCTTTGGCTATCCTTGTGATTTACAGTTAAACCTTTCCTTCATGTTCATTAGCTCTAGGCACTCTCTCTTGTCCCTACTTTAGAAGATGTAGAGCGTGATGACCCTTGCCACACTTTGGTGTGGGGAATGTCAAGACTAGAAGAATATATGTTCAGGGGTGCCAGGAGGAAGATAGATGGTTTATGCCCACTCCTCCTTAGAGTGTCACAGGAGTTAGAGGCATCAGATGTGGCACAGAGCTGTTGGGAGACCAGGATTCTAGACTGAAAGTTGACCCAGGTCCTGTCCGCCCACTTCTTGACACACACATTTGCGCTCAGATGCTTGCTGCCCAGGCAGAAGACTAGACATTTATTTTCTGAAGAAACTAAATGACCCTGGTTGAAAAAAAGATCTCTATGTACAGACCTTGGAATTGCAAAGAGTTGCTTCTGTGGCCAATCACCCACTGGGTTTTACCATGTAAGCTTCAACCATGTCATTAGAATTCCTGACTAGTGCTGAACTTTTAAGAAAAAAGAGTAGACAAAACCCAAACCCAAAACTTTGGAGAAGTAGTATGTGGAAGGGAGAGCAGTAGATAAAAAAAAAAAAATTGGCAAAACATCAGTAATTATTGGATCTGGGGAGGGCACATAGGGAACACATGCTGCTACCATTCTCTTTTTGTGTACATTTAGATCTTTCTTTATTAAAAATTAAAAAACAGAGCAAATAACTAAGGATCATGAGACGAATGAGGAAAGCCTCCAATATGAAAACTTTAAAAGAAGTAGAAGGGATGGAGAAAAGCTTCATCAACACTGACTACTTTGTGAGATATGAGAAGAGACAGAAGAGAGCTGGGCACGGTAGTGCATATCTGTAATCCCAGCTGCTCAGGAGACTGAGACAGAGGGATGGCAGGTTCTAGGTCAGCCGCCGCAACTTTACAAGGCCCTGCTTAAAATAAAAATGTAAAAGTAGAAAAGGGCTGGGGATATAGCTCAGTGGTAGAGCACTAATGGCTTCAATCTCTAGTACTGCAAAAAAATAAATAATATAGAATGTCATTTAAAAAAACTATCAGAGAATGAGGGAGAGCCCCTAGAAATTAAAACTATGATTATCCAAAATTAAAAATTCATAAGAGTTAGTGTTATCTTCCCAGAAGATAGGATACATAAAGAACAATAAATATGAGAGAAAAAAATAAAAGATATAATGGAGTGACCCATCCATTGTCTTCTTAATAGGAATTCCAAAGAGAACAAAGAAAATAAAAAAGATTCCATGATCAAGAAATAATAAAAGAGAAATTTCAGACTAAATGATGCTGCTGTCTTGGCTAAAAAGGAATAGGATCTGGCACAGGAATAGAAAATGCCCACATCACGGAACATCCTCTGAAATGTTAGATTACCAAGGATAAAGAGAGGATTCTAAAGCTTCCAGAAATTAAAAAAAATCACAGACAAATTATGAATTAGAAAAGCACCAAGCTATTCAATAGCATTTATTCCTGGTTGCAAAAATGGAGAAGCATTTTCAAAACTCTGAGGGAAATTTATTTTCAACCCAGAAGTCAGTATTCAACCAAAGTATTAATCAATTGTGAAGACAACATAAAGATATTTTTAGACATGTAGTTATATAATCAAAAGCTCATACCTGCCCTAGAGGAAATGGAACAACTAAAATAGGCCCTGCCCGCAGTGTGAAATAAGAAGTTGGGGAGGAAGGAGCTTGCTGTAGGTTAAAAGAAGCACCTTTGAATCATTTTTCGAGTCTGAATCAAACAAACCAACTGTAAAAACTTAAAAAACTGTAAAAAAAACTGTAAAAACCAACTAAAAAGAACTTTTGGAGACCATTTGAAATTTGAATACAAAAGTAGTAGTAATATTAGATGAAACCAGAGGATTAGTCTTAATTTATTTTTTAAGGAAATTAGTTTATTTTTAAGTAATTTTTTAAGTAAATTAACATTGTGGATACATTTTAAAAGTGTATATTTTTAGAGATGTTTCGTGAAGTATTTGGAAGTAGAACCACATGGTATCTGGAATACACTTTAAAATATTTGAGCAAAAAGAGGGTAGGCAAAACAGGTATGGCAATATCTGTAATAGTTGAATTTGGATGATGACATATGGACATGTATTATCCTTTTTTCTCTTTTTTCATATGTTTGAGATTTTTCATTGTTAATTTTTTTTTTTTTTTTTTTTTATGGCCATGGTAGATTTGCACACCTGCAATCTCAGCAACTTTGGAGGTTAGTGAAGGAGGATCTCAAGATCCAGGCCAGCCTGGGCAACTTAGTGAGACCCTGTCTCAAAATGTAAAAAATAAAATAATTAAAATAATTTTAAGTCATCAGTGGCCACTAATTTAGCAGCTTTCCTAAAATGCCACCTTGGGAGCTGAACATAGGTATCTAGCATGCTGCCTCTGATACTTTCTCAGAATGGAACGCTGTGTAGTCATTAAAAAGTATGAGGCATAGAGTGAAACAGATTAATTTTTAAGTTATATTGTTTAGTACAATAAGCTAGGTTCAGACCCTGCTATGGGAGAAGAAAGGTAGGGGGTGGGTTTGGTTTTCTTTTCTTTTCTTCTTAACTGTGCTCCTGAGTTTACACCTTTTCTTTCTCAGTGGATCAGCATTCCCCAGGCATACTGATGCACAGAAACGGCTTTCTCCACCATACCCACCCTTTACATACAGCAAAACTCTGGAATGGGTTTATTGTTACTGTTTTATCTTACCTACTTGCATTCTTCCTTTTTTTTTTTTTTTAATATTTATTCTTTAGTTTTCAGCGGACACAACATCTTTGTTCGTATGTGGTGCTGAGGATTGAACCCGGGCCGCACGCATGCCAGGCGAGCGCGCTACCACTTGAGCCACATCCCCAGCCCGCATTCTTTCTTGAACCTCTGCAGTCAGTCTCGTATCCTCTTCACACCACTGAACAGCTCTTACCAGGTTCCAGTGACTTCCACATTGCTAACTTCAGTGGTCAACTCAGCCTTCTTTTTACTTGGTCTTTTAGCAGTATTTAATAGGGTCAGTCTCTCCTTCCCAATCCTGTTTTCACCTGGCTTGTGGCCACCATAGCATTCTAATTCATTGATTATTCTTTCTGAGTCTCGCCTGCCCCACTCTTAACAATCATGAGCACCAGGA